TCGACAGAATTGGCGATCCATCAATCTTTTGATTTTTAACCCTTAGACTTCTGATGTCAACAGAATCCTCAATCTTGCTCCAAGCAGAGTCCTTGTAGATCCAAGTGGTCCTTAGCACGAACCTTGGATGACGAGGTGCAGGTACTCGCAAAGCCTTTGGCCGATGACCAATAATGATCTTTGATGCGGCAATTTCACTGCTAGTGATCCAACCTGGCTTGGCTAAATCTTTAGGCTTGATTGCAATTGGTGGTGCGGCATTGATTGCTTCTTCTATCTCGGAGTCGCTATGAACGACTCTTTCATCCCCGGCCGGTCCTCTCGGACGGCTTTCTACTGGAAACCCGAAGACTCGTCCTCCGCAGGTGCCGCCAGTTCAACCTTGACTGTACCGGCGTTAAACACCTGAGTTCCAGCAGATTTCTGGGAATCATCAGCACTTGCTGGGCTCGCTACCGAGTCATCATTCGAGATCACTGGGACTCTACCCTTCATCTTACACTTGATGACTTTACCATCGGGAGCTATGAAGTATGGAACCTTGCCCGCAGGCCAATGGAAATCATATCCATCGTCCATGCATCTTCTCCCAACAGAACAAACCGGTGGCGTGCTTTCCAGTAGATAGCACTCAATGTTTTGCTTCAGTTCAGGCATCGGGATGTTGGTTGACTTGATTCCCTGAACTGGACCATTAGCTGTAATCAAGTTGACCGGCCTACTAGCGTTTTCGATGGGAGCCTCTGGATAGTAGATAGAGTGATCGTGCCTACTGATCAGATCTTCTTCACTGCCAGTATCGGCGAGGAATTCTAATCCCGCATTAAAGCTAGAGCATGCTGTTCTTTCAACGCTAGAACACAGCTCGCACTTCAACACTGCAACTGGGATCTCACCCTCTTCGCAGTCATCTGTGCACTCGTACTCACAGTGGCTTTCAATCCCATTGAGCATACAGGACATGATCCTGGCAAGCTCGTTCGCTGTTCTTATGGCCGTGCTTAGGTCCTGAACTGGAGGCTTTGGGCAACTTTCAGCATCCAAGTAACAAACTTCGAAAGTTCGCGGTTTGGTCCTATGCTTCTTACCCTTACCATCCAATGGAATCTCCCGAATGCTTGGCTTCTCCTTGAACCTTAGTTTCTTGAACGTTCCTGAAGCATCACCCTTAACGCCTTGCCCATTGGGCACAGCTGCCAGCGCATACGAAATGCAACAAGCTGCCGTGCGTCCGCCAGACTTTTCCTTGCTCTTGGACCTGCCCCTGTGTTTCTTTTCCTTCTTTGCTTTAGGATCCGGGGTCGGGCTCCTAGGCTTTTCATCGTTCTTCGCAGGGGCGGCCTGCTCGGTAGGAGCGGCGTCAGTTGGATTGGGCTTATCTTGATGCAGGAACCTACAGTCTTTGCCTTTGTTGCACTTACCTTTCTTCCAAAAGGTGCAAATCGCGTTGATCTTCTTCTGAGGCGTTCGATGAGGACTTGGGGATCTTGACTTTGGTTTGTGGAGAAACTTACACTTGTCGCCTCTTGTGCATTTCCCTTTCTGGAAGTCGTAACAAACCTGTTGTGTTTTGGGACTCTGAGATCTAGGCGGTGTTCGTTGGCTCGATCCTTTGCTGCTTGTTCTGGATTTTGAGCTACTTCGGGACATGCTTCTTCCACGGCCTCCTCGCGAAGAGGGGCGACGTTCAGATCCGTACGCTGGGGCCCCGTATCTATCGCCATGCGACTTAGCGATGCGATCACGATTCTTGCGCATACGCTCTCTAGTCAGATGCTCCCTAATGGCATTGACGAGGAATTCATACGTGTGTACGGGGTTTCCTTCTTTTGCCCTGTCGTACAGCTGAAGATCGTACTTGATGTGGTGGGATTTCCGAATTTCCCTCAGCAAAATGTCCCTCAAAGTAACCTCATCCGGAACATGACTCATTCCAGCAATCACCGACTCGAAGTTGTAAAGGAAGGTAGCCAAGTCGTCCCCAACCAACTTCACTTTTAAAAGGTCCTCTACGCTATAGAGGCTTCCGACTTCTTCATTAGTCTTAAAGTGTTGGTGAAACATCCACAATACTTGTCTTCCCCTGACGGCACGTCCTCCTGTGGCCTCTGTTTCCTTGAAGTTTAGGACTTGCCTTGAAATCTCTCCTCTAGCGACTCTGGTAAGTGCAGCCAACAACTTCGTGTCCAATGTTAAGAATTTCCCAGTGTCATGTAAGGACTTGAGGGTAGCCTCTTTATCATATACTTCCTGCACCCAGCGAAATGCCTCATCCGGGCGATCGCTCGCAGCCCGCACAATCTCGCGGACCGAGATCCGCCACGATCGGTAGGTCTCTGGATTAGGGTAATCGGGAAGCTTGATGCTTTCGGCTTCTTTCACCTTTGGTTTGCCCTCTTCATCTTCGGTCTTAGGGGTAAGCAAGCGTGCTGCCCTAATCAATGCCTCAGCTCCGAAATCAACATGTGGAACCCCGTCTGGATCAACAGTCGCCGGCTTACCAGTTTGGGCAGCTTTAGGAGACTTTTCCTTTTGTGGCTCTCTGTTCTCAAACCCAGGTGGTACAGAAGTTCCTTGCGGAGGTTCCTGAGCTTGCGGCGTTCTTCCGAAGATGTCCTTCATGTTCTCGGGAATCTCAAATGGATTTGAGAACGGGACAGTAGGAATAGGTCCTGGCTTCGGCGTGGCATATTGTCTGCCCGCTTCGTCCGCATTGGCTTCCATTCTTAGGGCTCGTTCTGCGGCAGCCAGTTCATCCTGCAGTCTGTCGTTTTGTGCACTCATTTCGGCGATTTCAGTAATGAAACGCCGTTCCATACTCGCTTCGGTTTCTTCAAGGACTTGTTTGAATCGAATTCCAAGAAAGTCAAGATGTTGTGCTTTGTTGCGTTCGCTCTCAGCAATCAGAGTGGTTCTGAGCTTAGCGATTTCCGACTGATGTCGTTGTTGGAAAATTGATTCCAGAATGTTCATTTCATTCCTGCATGTTGCAACTTCGTTCAACAAAAACTTTTCCCTTTGGGATGCGTTGAACTCAAATTCCGCAAACTGTGCTTCGCATTCTGCCATCTTCACCTCATGAAGGCGCTCGGCCTGTTCAGCCATGCCAGCCATTCTCACAAGATTATCATGCGATTGTTGGTTCAGAATGCTTGCGTGTCTTCTTTCAGCATCTGCCTCCGTTCGCTCTATTGCCATTCTTTGTTGTTCGGCTGTTTCACCCTGGTTCACAACATTGTACAAGGTATACTGCACGTTTGAGATGTCGACCGTTGGATTTGAGACAAATGGAGATAGGGTAGGACCCACTGGACCGAAGATCCTATCAAGTGCTTGGGATCCTGAGCTCGATGCCATAGGGCCCGCGCCAGCTGCTGTGAGTTGTTCATCAAGCAGTCGATCTCTTGTTTCGTCGTCCATCTCGTCCGATGATACTTCAGTTGTTTCTCCCTTCTCAGTAGTGAGCAGAGAGGGCGAAGTACTCATGTACCAGTGTGAATACCAGTGTAAGAATACCACGGAGACAAAGTCAGCGAATACGGCTGATAACCTATAGAATACACCAAAACCGTTAAGCCATGAGCGGTCGCGCTAACCTTTTACTCAGAGGGCTTGGGCACAATAGTCAGCGGTATATAGTACACAACATGATGACTGTACACGACCATACAAACTCCTACGCAAGCTGCGATGCAAAACTACAACTATAGTTATAGTAGAGTATACCCCCAGACCCTAAACCCCAACACCAACACAGCCCCCAGACCCGCTACAACCTCAACAGACCCGGAACCCTAAGCCCCAAGGGACATCGAGTGAATCGGCCACCTGGAATCCGCCTGCACCGAATCTCTCGTTGCAGGCCTTCACGGCTTGGGCCTTCAGCTGCGATGGAGCGGCCTCTCCTCCGCCCTTCTTCTTCTTTTCGGCCTTCCGGAGCGAGCGAAAGGCGTCGTCGCATCCCTGCGTGGAGCTCCGAGAAGCCTGGTAGGCCTTGATGAGCTGCCGGTCCTCCTCGCACAGGCGGAAGTCCCTGTCCTCTGACTCGCCACCGCAACCAGATGACCTGCGACAATGTAAAGGACCCATGAGCATTCGGAGTGGTTTCCTTCCTGGCGGAGCAGGAACGTCCACTCGTCTTTCATCTCTTCTACGGTCCGGGTTGCCACGTGCTCATCGCTGTCACACGCGAGAAACCCAGACCTTCCAAAATCCCTTAATTAAGGAATATACCTTAACTCATATTAGGGATCCTATTACAAGTTTAAGGTATATTCCTTAATTTTGGAAGGTCTGGGGAGAATCTCCACAAAAGGTCTCGTAGAGGAGCTGAACCCAGACTGTAACCCATTTGTATGTGCACACACCGATGTGTGTAGGTAGTTACATATAGACATATATGGGCGCAGAAAAGAAGCGTGGGGTATGCACTGTAAATGTAAACTCTCTCTCTCTCTCTCTCTCTCTCTCTCTCTCTCTCTCTCTCTATGTATATATATATATATATACACATATGCAGACATACAAAGACACAAGTAATGTGTGGATTGTAAAGGGGATGGCATGACGAAGTCGTCGGACCTCTGCAGCACGCGATGTCTGACGACCCGGGAGCTCCTTCACGCTCATCTCTGAAGTTCCCCAGACCTTCCAAAATCCCTTAATTAAGGAATATACCTTAATCCATATTAGGCATCCTATCATAATTTAAGGTATATTCCGTAATTAAGGGATTTTGGAAGGTGTGGGTCCTTACAAGCCTTACCCTGGATCCTGAAGCCTCCCAACCCTTTAGGGTTTAGGATTTAGGGTGTCGGGTTATCCGTAAGCCTGGGGATCTTGGGATTGTAGGGTCTGGGGCTTGGGGTTAAGTCTTCGAGTTTTAACTCCTGTTCCTTGATAGCTTCTGGGACCTACAGCTTCAGGTCTTGTGGGCTGGTGGCTTAGGGTTGCGCCCTCAATGAAGCCCCCGAAGCTCAACGCACGGCTTACCATCGTGCCTGATTTCAGTATCTCTGGGATCGCCTTTTTCAAGGTTGCGGCGGTGTGCCTCAGATAGGGGACGGTTCCGTTACCGAGGGCTCCGGTTTTGTTAGCAGGATCTAAAGAACAGGAGCTACTCCCAAGGACAACTCCCTGTCAGCTGTTTTGTTGTAGCAGCAGCCCATTATCATTACAACCTCTCATTTGAGAACGGACCTGACACACCAAACTCGACACCTAGGTCAAGTTCATCTGTTCAACAGTACATCTGACAAGAAATATATTTTTTTAATACAGCACGGCAATAGAATGTGTTGTAGGTAGGTGTGTGTGTCATGCGGCGTTTACAACGCACACTGTGCTCAAGACTCAGTCCATTGTAGCATATCACAGTACATTGTAGAATCTTCTGCTATGTTCCAGTATCTGAAAGGTACTTCGTAGTACTTCCTCAAAATACTTCCTGAGGCCTGAACTCAAGACTTCTTTCAGCTTAGAAGGGGCTACCGCAAGCGATCTCCAGCTGTTACCAAGCCACGAAGCTCCAAGATCCGGCTTAGGCTGAGGTTTAGGATGTTTTTCTGGGGGGGGAGGGGGCAGAGTTCAGGGTTGAGCGCTTAGGGGAACTGTGGGAAGGGTAAGAAACAAAAACAAGGATGAAGGCTACCTGCCATAGCCACTCAGTACACCGCAAGACCCTGCGGCCCGAACTGCCCAGCAAATCCAAACACCCAATGTAAGCCCTCAACTAAACCCTAAACCCTAAACGGCCCTAAACCCTTGACTCAAACTCCTCAACCCTCACATCACCCCAAACTCTCAAGCAAACCCAATACTCAAAATCCTCGACCCTCCCCTCCCCCACCCCCCACCCTCAACCTCGAAACCGTAAACCCCAAAACTCTCATAATCCTCATCCCCCCATTTCCCCCTGATCTTCAACCGCGAGGCCATCGGTCGTGCACCACGATAATGGCACCCGGTCTTGCGCGCCACCTGTGAGGACACCAAGTTTTTAAGCCATTCCTTGTAGACGGCTTACCAAGTTTTAAAGCCATTCCTTGTAGACGGCTTAGGGTTGAGGGTGTCGGGTTTGGGGGTGTAGGGTTTGGGTTTAGAATTGAGGTTTAGGGGATTTGGGGCTATAGGGTGTAGGATTTAGGGTTCTCTGTCAAGGGGTTCTGAGAAGCTTCCTCGGACTTCTTTGCACTGTTCAATCTGGACTCACAAGCAGCCCTCTCTTCGGCAGAAAGCTGTACTCTTGCCAGCAGCTTCTAGATGTCACTGTTTTGCTTACCCTAAACCCTAAACCCCTAAACACTATATAAACGTATTAGGGTTTGGAGTTTAGGGCTTATGGTTTAGATCGCTCAAATCTCGCAGGCTCTTCTTTGTCCGGTTGATGGGGTTGGCCGGCATCGCCCGGCTTCTCCAAAGCCGCTCTTGCTTTCTCTAGTGGAGCCATTTGCATACTATGACCTCAATGCAATGTGTATACACACATACATACATATATATATATATATATATATAGTTATACAGTTATACATACATACATACATACATACATACATACATACATACATACATACATATATATATATATATATATATATATTTACATACGTCCTGGGGATTCAGGGTATAGCCTATCGCAGCTCGGAGTCTTGGGATTGGGAAACAGGGAAACGACGGTCGAGACTTGTGGTTCCTGTGCACTCTCCACCCGTTCCGGAGTTTTGGAGAATTAGGGGTACCTTATTTTGGGGGTCATTTTGGGAAGGATCCTACTATTTAGAGTAGTATATCAGGGTCCCCTATGTTCGGAAACACCCGCTTCCGGAATGCCTCAGGTACCAGCTGTTGACGAAGCGCGTGATGGCAGCGACATCATGCCTCAGCAGGCGTAAGATGGTCCAAATGGAGCGCACAGGATGGCTCGTCGCCGATTCATCACCGTTGCCAACATCATCACCACCACAAATCTCGACCAAAACAACAACACCCATTCTCACAACCCTCAACAGCTGCATCAACGTTTCCTAGGATCTTTAACTACGTAAGGTTCTAGGGTCCAGGCATTGGTAGCCCGAACGACGAGACCCAACAGCCTAACTTCCCAGACCCCCAAAAAGTAGGTAAAATAATTGCCCAAAACCTTTAAAAGGCTATTATTCTAGATACTTTGGGGGTCAACGTAGCCACAGCGTGATGCCTATCGTAACAAAACCCTAAACCCTGTAGCCGAATGCGCCGAAACCCAGACCACCGAAGCCCTGAAAAACAGGGGCCGTGCAGCCGAGCGACGGGTAACAACTCGCGATGACGGTCGTGTACTTCTTTTCCCGGGCCAGTTTGAGCATGTGCCTGAAGCCAATCATAGGCGTCATAGTAACACTGATGCTATTGGCACGAATCCTACTACAAATACTGATGCGAATACGAATACGACTACCAATAGGAATAGTTACGGTATACCAGTACCAATACCAATGCTAATTGTAATGGGAATGCAACCCAAGCCCCCCAAACCCCTAAACCTTAGAACCCTAAACCCTACCTTGACCCCAAATAACCTACCTTTTTCAGGACTAAATCATAGGGAAATCATAAAAGGGAACCCTAAAAAGGTAGGGTCATTAGGGTCCAGGTAGACCCTGCGAATAGTAACAGGGATCTCAAGACTCGGAGCATAAACCAGGGGGTTTAGGGTTTAGGGTTTAGGGTTGAGGGTTTAGTGTTTAGGGTTTAGGGTTTCCATTCTAAGGGTGCTACGAAGCTTTACAGTTTAGGGCTTAAGAGTTTAGAGCTTAGGGTTCAGGGGTTCTGTGAGGGTCTGAGGGTTTAGGGTCTAACGGTGTCAAACTTAAGGCTTAGGGAAAGGCTGGAGTGCGGTTTACATTCAGTTTTCTGCCCGTGTACCTGCGCTTCGATACAATATGGGCCAGTTGCTGTTTGGCTATTAGGGTGTTTTAGCTAACATGGGGATGTAAATACATCGTCATGTATGGCCTTCTGTAATACCTTTGAAGATTGCTCTTAATTAGACACATAAAGAGCCCCATTTAACGCTTGAGGGCCTGATCAAAACTCTTATGAAACCTCTTGGGCCATGTAAACCACGGAAAACTCGAGCACCAACATTGAACCCGAAACCCCCTCCCTAAATGCCTGAACCCTGAACCACTACTGATCATAGTCTCATTGTGGTTCCTTTTTGGGGTTACCTTGTAGGATCCTAAATCTACAACTGGTTGAAGCAAAAAACAAGTAAACCCCTAAACCCTAAACCCTGCAAAGCGAAATGAGGAAATCCCAAGCCAAGGTGCTGGTTGAAGAGCGCCGACGCGGGGCGGAACCAGCGGTTCGGCCGCTTGCTCCAATCTTGCGCGGACTTGTGGGAGTTCTTTAGAGGTTCTTCGGGGCTGAATACCCTAGCCCAAAGAAAGGTTAACCTTTCCAATGATGGTCGGAGTTTAGAAACCCCACAAAGGTCAAAGGTTGCCTACTTGGCTACTAAGTTTTGTGGAAATGCCTTATGGAGACGCTTTTAGGAAGCCTTCTAAGCATACTGAACTTAGAACCCTAGCAAAAAATTATAATTTAAGCGGTTTCTTAGGGATTATAATAGCCAAAAAATAAAAATTATTTCTAAGTAACCCTAAGAGAAGGCCTCCCTTGAGGTTTCTCACAAGGGTTTGTAGGTTTAGGGATTGGGCGTCAGGGCTTCAGGATTTTGGCTGGAGCTCAAACTCTACCTATAGTCTCCATTGTAGTTCCTTTTTTTTGGTTAACCAGTTTTATGGTTAGGAACCTACAATAGGGATTTTGGTAAACCAAACAAAGGAACTACAATGGAGACTATAGGTAGGGATTGCTGCAGGGTTTTGCTCAGCGTTTGAACGCTATGGGGGGGGTTAAGGCTTGCCGGGCGTTGCTTAACCGTGCAGGGTGTAGCTGCAGCTTTGTTTGCTATGACATAGGAAATAACAATCGGCTCTTCATGTCTGGTGTCAGGGATTACGCTTTGGCACTGCTCCAGAGACTTTGGATTTCTTTGTCTTCGTGATCATGTAAGCAGAACCCTATTAAATATCACGCCCTACCGGTGACCGTCGTGGGCCACACCCCAGAACATCACAGACAGGGCTTAGGATATACCTATAATCTCCATTTGTAGTTCCTTATTTTGTTTAACAACCTTTCTATTTAGGATCCCGTAACCTGACCCCAAAACGGAACCACAATGGGGCAGAGGGCAAGAGTTTTGACGGATTTTCAGCGAGGTGTACAGACCCTGAACCTTGGATTTCTTCCACGTGGATCCTACCACCATAGAGGGTTCGGGCTTGCAATAGCAATCAAACCCTAAATGGTACATCTTCGAAACCGTCAGATCTAAGCGCTATAAAGGCCCAAACACCCTAAAAACTCTAAACCCTAAATCCTAAAATCCAAGCCGAAATGCGCTGAACACTCTCGAAAAGAACAGCTCCGGCCTGCTTGACCGGAGAGCTGGGCCAGCAAATCTGGGTGCAGAAGGCTTAGTAAAGCTTGCGGGTGAGGTTAAGGCTTAGGGGTTTAGGGTTTCGGTTTAGGGTTTAGAGGGTTAGGGGTTTAGGGCTTAGGGTTTATAGGGTTTAGGGGTTTAGGGTAGTTCTCCAAATTAATGTGCCTTTCTAGGCACCTAATATAGTACGGCACCCTCATGAAAAGGACGGTAAAAGGGAAGATCTTTTGAAAAAGTACCCATGTAGGTTTAGGCTGAGGGGTTGAGGGATGTAGGGACATGGATGATCGGTAAAAGACCTGCGGTTTTAGACACAGCGCGGGTGGAAATTAGGGTCTGTCGTCAAGCCTTCGGGGTGCAGCTGCTAGGGCCTTGCGATTGGCTGTGTTGCGGGTGATCAATTTTCGTGGTTTCGGGAATAATTAGGCTCAGGGTACTTCTGGTTTAGGCTTTAGGATGTACGTTTCCGCCTGAAGGTATAGAGATGCGCACAGTAAACACGAAAAGCCCCAATCGGATTCCAGCATCGCTGTTCTTCAACGGGAGCCTCCTAAACCCGAAATCCTTGCTCAAGCTACTGTAGGGGCCTTAATAATTAGAGTAGGGTCTGGAGATATACTATACTGTACCTGTAATTCAGGAAGGAACCCCAGAATAGTATAATTAGGTAATTATTTAGGCCCCCAATTAACTTCAACCTCTGTGCAGTTCTTGGGTAGTTCAGGCGACCTCATTGCTGGCTGATCGTGCAAGTGCTCCGATTAGCAGAAGCTGCAGACTGAAAAAATGCTGGAGCCGTCCTAAACGACACCGCGCAAGGGCACACACCAATGGAATCTTGCATCCTCGAGTTCCAAGCCGTTTCATCTGCAAGGGCTTGTCTAACATAGGTGCAGACCAAAACCATGTCCAACAACCCTAACTTGTATTCATTGAAGGGCTGAAGCTGCAAACCCCGAGAACACCCAATTCAAGCAAACAAAACTGCATTGCACGAAACTCACAGCCAGGTGCAGCAGCAATCACAACCAAAACCACAAACGAAAAACACAGCAACAAACCCTGATCAGCTTGTACAACATTACATGCACACACTGCACGAAACTACAACCAACCCAAAACCTTCAACCCCAAACCCTGCAGACAGCCCTAACCCCTAAACCCTGGCTCAGAACTAGATTCTAGATGTTTAGGCTCGCCCGGAGTTCGCTAGCAATGTTCTAGCTCCGCCTGACCGAGTCCCACAAAGTCACAAAGTCACCAGAACTTGGATCCGCACCGTTACAATGATTGAAGGCTTCGTCGAAGTCGTTCTGCTCCATGGCCTTATGGGAGTTTCCGAAAATTAGGAGGTGCCTTAGGGTTCCTTTAAAGGGTTACTATAAGGGTAGTATAAGGGTTCCTTTAAAGGGCTCTGTAAGGGTTTAGGGTTTCCGAAAATTAGGGGGTACCCTTGTTTTGGGGTCCTTATATTAAGGATCCGACTATGTAGGGTACTAGATAAGGGTCCCCCATTTTCGGAAACTCCCTTATGAGGTTTCTGGGTTTAGGTTTAGGGGGTGAGGGGTTTCTTGGGAGTTAGGGTCCTGCACTTCGGGGTTTGGGGTTTAAGGTTTAGGGGCTGAGAGCCTTTGGCACCAGGGGTTTAGATCTTGTATGTTTACCCTTCGAATCTACTGAGGTACATTCGTTGAAGCGGCCATGCCTAAACCACGAACCCTAACATTCTAAACAAATGATACTAGGTACTGGTTCCAAGCTCTAGACACTGTAGACCTCACAGTAGGCACGATTCGTGTCGTAGACTTGGGGCCACAAGGAAAGCGCCTGAATCCGAAACCATAAGCTGAGCCATTAACGGCTAAATCCGAAACCTACAGTTGGTAGAAACTTCCAGAATTCAGGGTCCGTCTGAGGGCTGGAGACACTGCAGAATTTTCCTTACAATTAACAACCTCAATACTAATCAGACTGATGTAAGAAGGACCCCCAAAAGAGCCTGACATGAACCCAACGCAACAAAAAAACCCTTTCAAACCACCATGAAGCCCTATTTAACCATTTTTAAGGCTCCTATGAGACCCTTTAACAAAACGCTTCCGCAACACCCTAAACCTAAAGTGGAAAAACCCTAAACCCTAAACCCAAAACCCTAAACCCTAATGCAACACTGTATCAGTTGGCTGTCCCCTGAGGTTGGTGCGATGGCAGGACGATCCTTGGCTGCCAGATACCGCTGTGTGGGGTTTGTACAGAAAGTAGCAATACCTAGAACTCTTTGTGACCTCAGTCAAGGTACTTATGACTTCAATGGTGCAGGGCATGGGGATGCTTCGATTTTTCTGCGGATTTCGAGGTATAAGGATTTATGCAGGGTTCAGCTAAGTCTCGGATTCAAGATCTACGGCTTGAAAGGACTTGGGTTTGGTTCATGGTTTAAGCGAAGCACCGGAAGACAGGATCTGGGCCGCTCTAAACTAGCCTCGAAGTGCGACTCGCAAGCTTGCGGGTAGTTCTCTAAACTAGGGTACGATGCAGGTTCCTTTTATTATGAGGGTGCCGTACTATTTAAGGGGACTTAAAAGGGACGCGAACTTAGAGAACTGAGAACTACCTGTCTATGGTGTGAGTCAGCATCTGCTTTTTGTTGCCAGGTTGTCGCTACTCGGAAAGGGAAAGGGTTCGGATTCCCGGGCGATGAGGGATCAGTGTTTTTGTTGGGCTTATAGGGCCATTTACGGCTTAGGATCTGTTTTGCAAGCTTTTCAGGATTTATAGCTGATGGTCCATGTAGTCATAGCAAATCCCAGTTGGAAGGTGGCACAAGGATCGATATTGCCTTAGCTACAGGGCCTTTGGTTTCAGAATAGGCTCGAACTGGAGATGGTTCGCCAGCTCATGGCCCTCCTTTACCGCCCGATCGAGCAGGTCGCGGTAGCCTTGGGGCTGTGGCTCCGGTTAAATCCTAAACCCTAAACCCTTCCTCAGTTTAGCCGCCTTAACCCCAAGCCCTGAACCCTAAGCCCTAAACCCTTCAACCCCTAACCCCTAAACCCCCTAAACCCTAAACCCCTAAACCCTAAACCCTTAAGAACCTTTAAGCAATATGCATTCAGTCCTCTTGAGGATTCCGCTGTGCTTTCAACGACCTTTCTTGAGGTGTTCGGCTTTGTGGCAACTATGGGTTTAGGGGAGTACAGGCAACGGTTCCTGGTGTCGAAAGATTTTCAAGGGGGATGCATGTAGCTTCATAGCGGCATTCGCTTGTGCCCCTCCATAGTAGCTGAAGCCCAGAATTCACGGCTGACAGAGAAGCACCGAGTCCTCCTCTAAACCCAAACCCCCCAAGACCCAGCATGCTGTGAACCATGCCAGTGCAATCCTCATCGGACAAACCTGAACTGACCAGGCAACCCAACCCCACATGCCGAGAGGCCCTGCAAAACTCTTCAGGATTGTGGGGTTTGCGTTGCGGGTTTGGAGGAATGGCTTAACCCGGCTTGACCCCAACACCCTCAACGACAAACCCAACCCCCAAAACAAGGTACCCCCCCTAATTTTCGGAAACCCTAAGCCCTTAGAGAGCCCTTTAAAGGAACCCTTAAAGTACCTATGGTTGATGATATAAATCCTGCGTGACCTCAAGGACTCTAAACTACGGGAATTATGATATATATATATATATATATATATAGGCTCCCTTATAAACCAAAATAAGGAAACTAAAAAATGTCTCAAAATCCAACCTAGGTAGGTCGCAAGTCTTCACCGGCCGAGGCACGCTTCCGCAGTTCCTTTGGAGGACCCCCTGAGGTTGGCGATGCAGGGTTCCTTACCCAAAGGGTCCTATGTACCGATATAGTACAATGTAGGATTTCCATATTAGGAATTACTATTATGACTTAGGGAAGAATCCCCCATAACAGTACATAGGACCCTTTGGGTCAAAGGGTTCCCTTGCACGGGGGTTTACGAGGGTTCTGTCAGGAGTTAGTTTCGACAGGGCTTTGTAGACGGGCCTCACCAAGTAGAAGAGGGTTTAGGGTGTGCACCCGAAGGTATGCTTCTACATAGATCACTCCAAGACCTCCTTATAGCCTTGAAGCCTAATCTAGCAAGCCTCAGTATTTGCTCTAGAGCTTTGATGAGTTTTACACCAGAAACGTTTCAAGGCTCTCAAGGAAAACTATTACTACCCATAGGCCCCACAGTAGGTCCGTTTTGGGATTACCATATCGACTTCTTTTTCTTTGCCCCGAAAAGGAACTTCTTTGGGGCAGAACCCCTGTCATAAATCACTCGGCGCACGTTCCCAGACTTTCGGGCTTCGGACTCTTAGAGCTGCAGGAGATGCTTAGAAGGGCTTGGGCTGCCAGTGATGAGACGTAAGGCTCAGAAACCCTAAACCCTAAACCGAGCCCGATCGATGCCCTATATAAACACTGCAGCCCAGCACGACTATGAACTGAAGCAATCAAAGCCCTAAATGCCCTTTTCAGTCATTGAAGACAGGGCGGCCTTTCTCCGGTGGGAGATCGAAGCCCGACATGACGAACAAAGTAGCTTTGACCTGCAGCTCTTGTTTTGGGTCTTGGTTTGGCTTGGCCAAGGATTCAGGGCTTGAGCTTGATGCTACGAGAGACTATACCTACAGGCTCGATTGTAGCTCCTTGTTGAAATTACCTCATAGCACCCTGGATGTGAACCACGAAAAAGAACTACATCCGAGCCTATCAGTAGTGGCCTTAAGGTGTTGATGGCTTCAGGCCGAGATTGGGCTGACTTGGGGTTTAAAGGGCCCTCGGGATCTAGAAAGGCTTTCGGAGTTGGGTCTCTGACGGTGCGTATGCCCGGCGTGAATGAAGTAGTTTCGTGTCGGAAAGGCCCGAATCGGGAGTTCTTGCTAAACCTGTGCCGACTCCATCGGAAGTAATGAAGTCTTGCGAAAACATTACACCCCAATCACAATAACGGCAAAATCCTAATTTATCGCAGCTGTGACAATCTCAAACTGATTTCGTTGTCAATGCCAGCGTTAAACGTCTTTTTCGCGACAACGCATTAGCATAGAATGGTTGGCGTGATGACAACGATTAAGGTGATGAGGAAGACTGTGTTGATGAGTATTTGAAGAGTACCGGTTATCATCATGAGACCGAAACTGTGTTCATGATACTGGTACTACAAATAACTGTTTGCTGCGATCCATCCTCATGCACATCATGGTGGCGCTTCTGGAAAAAGCTAAATCGACAGCTAAAGCCAAACTTCCGAAACTTCAGCCCGCACCACAAGCCCAACGACTTAACAAAACAACCCTTGGAACATCTTCAAGGCAGCTGGGATGTGCCGCCTTGTTCTCCTTCAGCACATCTAGTATCTCCTGTCGGCAAGCAGAAAACTTTCAAAAGGTCAACCTCGAGTTAGGGGTTTAGGGTTTAGGGTTTAGGGTTTCAAGGCTTGCAGACCTTTAAGATTCTGCAACTTGCAGGCCCCAGCAACTTCCCGATTTTGTTGGTCTAACCCACAATTGGCAGTTGATGTCCCCTTTCTTAGTTGCTGAGTTCATAAGCCCCCAAAAGTGTACATTTCCAGTTTGATAGTGGGTAATACTATCCCAGAAAGTGCAAAGTGTATCCACTCATCTACTAAGCTTTTGAAATTCGACACGGAGAGAGGGGCTGAGATTCCGCACTCGAACCCCGCAGCCGGGAACCTCCAGTGACGACGGTTTGTCCAGCAGCGGCACGTCGTCAATGGTAAGAGCGCAGAGCTTGCGCTTGTTCAGTTCGTAGCGCCACAAAGCCTCAGTGATCCACGGGATCTGACCCGATGTGTCAGGAATGGCTGTAAAATAGGGTCGTTAATAATCAGAATAAGGTTTTGGGGTATATTGTACTATGATCATAATCAGGAACCCCCAAAATAGTACGGGTGATTATGTTGGAATAAGCCGCTGACCGCGGTGATGACGATGACTATAATGAGGATGGCAGTGCTTGTCATGATCGTGATGATGTATAAAAAATAACAGATGGTCGTGGCCTTTCACGGTGAAAACGCCTCCTGAAGCCCAAACCCTAAACCCCGGTGATTGGCTGGTAATGGTGATGATGGTGGTGCATTGGCTTTCGAGCTCAGGGCTGGGGAACCAGCAACTTCATAGGGACCCTGCCTTGGGGGGGTAGGGGGGAGGGGGGTAATGGCCTTATCCCATATTACGGACTTAATAAGGCCAGTTTAAGGAAGTATAGTCCCCTACCCCCCCTCCCCCCTACCCCGCTCTGATCTAAGGGTCCCTACGAAGCAACTTGACAAGGAATGAGCATACTCGGGGGAGTTTGTGCTGCCAACGGCGAGATCGCTTATACTACTTCTTGGGATCAGAGAGGGTGGTACATCAGCCAAATCGCAAATCATATGCTGAATTGCTTGCTTTTAAAAGTGTTATCAATTAACATATTCTTCGGACAGCTGGTGGTATTAATGCTGTAAAAGCCAAGCCTTGACTGGTGCTGTTGGTACTCGGCTGCCACTCCCAGCTGCCAGCAACTCGAACTGCCTTGACCCAGTAGTTCAAGTTCCACTCCTGTTGTAACTCCGGGTCCCAAAACCCTGCGCCCTTCGAGTCCCCAGCGGGCAGTTGATTGAGCAACAACTCGAGACACTGAATATCACTTCAGCACTCATAAACCCTAAACTTCGCCCTACTCCCTAAACCCTAATATAGAGGCCTCAATAATTACCAATACTATTTTTTGGAGGGGGGTTCCTTATTATAGGTATAGTATTAATGGGCCGCGAGACCCTCTTGCAATTATTAAGGCCCCTCTATTATAGTACCCTTATAGATCCCTTGTAGTAGCCCTTATAGACCCCGTTTTGAAGGAACCCTATTCCAATTATTAAGGCCCCTCTGTTAAACCGTGGCAACTTGAGCTCTCCTCTGAGTCCCTTCTTCCTTTACTATAGGGTCCTTAATCATTTGAATAGGGTTCCTTTAAAGGGATCTATAAGGGTACTATAATATAGGGGCCTTAATAATTACCCATACTATTTTTTTGGGGGGGGTTCCTTAATATATGTAAAGTTTAATGGGCCCCCAACCCCGTTGTGATTATTAAGGGCCCTATATTACACATCCTGCATCGCATTCTCGAATACCAGGCAGCTCCCGGAGAACACCAGGACATCTTGGACAATGCGGCGCAAGTGCACAGCTTGTAGGGCTGAGGATTACACTTACTTGGAAGATGTGTAGTTATGCAAACCGGGGAAAAGCACTCATATCATCAGCTCATGGACTGTCGTGATAGTCGCCGGAATTGACACGTATGAGAACTTTCGACGTGCGACTGTGGGAAACATGTAACATGTCTTCGTTCATGTAGCTGGTTGCTTACTTATATGTTTGTCTTTCCCTTTGCTTATACACGAAGTCCGTCGAAGTGCTGCCGGGTTAGGATGGCCCAAACACTCATGCTGAACAGAAATGAGTCCTACATCCTGGACAAAGTCAGAGGTATATAGGATGGCAGGCTGCGCTATTTGGGGTGCATACCTGAGGCCCATAAACCTGGCCGAAATTCATTGCGATGCTTGCAGGAGGCAGGGGGGGCACCTTGCTGCTTCGGGATCATGAGCTCGAGGATCCTTCTCTTTCGGGTCCACAAATCCCTTCCTCTGACATTATAGAAACTACCGTAAGGCTCCATAGTAGTCCCTTTCGGGGGTTCATATTTAGAACCCTATAAGGTACCCCGAAAAGGAACTATTCTGGAGCCTCTGGGTAAATGCTAGAAAAACGCAGCCGTCGGAGCTTCCAGAATTTTCTGAAAAAAAACCTCTTCTGAAAACCGTCTGATCACAATCATTACCTAAACCTAAGAAAACCTATTTTTGTAGGGTACCTTTAAAATCATACTAGGATGTATACAGAGAACCTACAAAAAAGTAGGTTTTGGAAGGTTAAGGTAAGCGTGATCAGTAATAGAATTCCCTCTTTTTCCCAAGCTCCCAGGGCGAGTTGCAAGATCCACGGACCAGTCGTGGAGTAAGTATGCCTCCTCCTTGGAGTGACGACGGTTCAATGGCGTTTCAAGTCTTTTCGGGTTTACAATTCAGGATTGTTTGCTTAGATTTTCAGGGTTCAAAGGTTTAGGGTTTAGGGTTTAGATACCACCAAAGCAGTTGAGTGCAGGGTTTTGGATTTGTGGCTTCGGGTTTCTGCAGCTTGAAGGATCGAGGTTTCTGCGGCGACATGGACCGTCCAAGTCAAGGTTAATGGTGTACCTTCTGAAGCTTTTGGGTTTGTTCGGTACATGCAACCGACGACTTCGAGTGAGTCAGTTGCGGCCGCTGCGGGACACCAGCCATCATGGGTCGCTCGAACGCTAGCATGTTTTACACGAATGCCGATTTCTCATAGCCAAGGTTGTTCCGCCTGACACTACGCCGGAGGCGCAAATGACCTGACAAACGCGTCGAACGAGGTGCAGGCAAACTCCGCGTCTTCTTCGGGGCTTTAGATGTCTCAGACCAAAACAGGCTAACATAGGCTAACGGTTCTAACCATGACGGCATTATCTGTTAAACCCCGAAAGTATCTATATGCGTAAAACCCACACGGCTGCCTACTTAGCACTTGTCTCCACGAGACTAGACAGAACAACGCATCGGGATCCTAAGATAATGGGGGAGGCCTCATTATGGTGTTAGGGATTGCAACAAGGTTCGGGGCTGTGGGGTTGGGGATATGGGGCCTTACAGATGTCACAGAAAGCCTCAGAAGGCGGTGAAGGGCTAAGGCTTGCCCCCCTCAGCGTCTGCCACTGCAGTCTGGACCACTCGTCGCACCCGTGGTGGGCGATGAGCCAGCCGCGTGTGTGCGTGTGTGTGTGTGTGACTTGTGTGTGTGTGTGTGTGTGTGTGTGTGTGTGTGTGTGTGTGTGTGTATGTGTGGGTTTGTGAAGAGTTTGTGTTTGCACCCGTGTCCTTCGTCTTGCCGTGGCGAGACATCTAAAACGCCTCCCCAAGAAGCTTAATTAAAGGCTTAAAGGCGGTGATTCCTGCTGCCTGTCCAGCCGCACACTGAACATGTCCATCCTTCCCCGCAGTCTGCAACGCTTGCGTGCGCCCTCAGCCTAAAAACCTAAGCCGGGTTCATGGAAAGTATGCGTACACAACGGTAAACATGCGCATACAAGAAAACCTTTGGGGTCTTCTGTTTGGACAAAGAGCATGAAGCATAAAGAATCAGGCAGTGGGGTTACCAGTTTAAACCCCACTTCACAAATCACACAACCCCGCACCTAAATGTTAAACCAACACGCCCCGAAACCAGTCCGCTCTGAAACCTAATCCTACAAGGCCGGGGCCCTATGCCAGAGGCTGCCAGAAGGGCCTTCAATATCGGAAGAAGCCTTGGGGTATGCTGTATGCAAAGCACTTTTATAGAGAAGACAAGCCAGGTAACGTCACGAATTTCGGCGACATGCGTATTGAGCCGCCGATCTGAAATCTCAATATTATTGCCCCGGCCCTAAACCCTTAACATTAAACCCAGTAAGACCTTACCTATAGGCTCCAATGTAGTTCCTTTTTGTAGATCATACTTAGGATCCTATAAGGCTATAAGGTAATCCCAAAAAGGAACTACCTATACCCTAAACCCTCAACCCAATAAGATCCGAAACCCGAAACCATTGACGTCCAGCCACAGCCAGCACGCAAAGTAGCAATCCCAGGACCCAAAGGGTGCCGGACCTTCAACAAGGGCGGTTACCGGCGCACTGGGCCTTTTAATTGAAGAGTTCTAGGGTTTGGGCTTCCAGCTCGAAATGCAAAGGCTTAGCGTTGAGGCTTTTCGTTTTACGATATTCGGGCTTACGGTTTAAGTAATATAGGGTCTTTAATAGTTGAAAAAGGGCTTTGGGGCCCAGTATACTATTACATATACAGTAATACGGAACCCTCAAAACAGTATAGGTAATTATTAAGGCCCCTATCTTATAATAGTACCCTTATAGATCCCTTTAAAAGGAACCCTATTCAAATTATTAAGGCCCCTGTAATATGTTCAGGCTCCCAGGGAGATCCGGGCTTCGTCGTTTAGGATTTTCTGGTCCAGCTCCACGTTCTTTCGCCTTTTCTCAGGCATCCCAGGGCAGAATTAGGGTTTAGGGTTTAGGGTTTTGAATGGCCGAAAACAAAGGCTACATCCTAAAGACTGCTAAATGCGTGCTGAACACCAAGCCGTGCTACGATTTAATAGGCCCTGCTTGCTGGACGGCACATGTCCGGCAGGTGGGTCAATCAGCGTCTCTCCGTTTGATCCTACATGCTAAACACTAAACTCCCTAAGCCCTAAACCTAAGCCCTAAACTTTCCTAAACTCCCCAAACGCAAAGCCAAAGCTCCCTAAACCCTAACCCCCCCTCAAGCCCTCAACTCCCCACACCTTAAACTCCCCAAGCCCCAAGCTAACCCAAACCCTAATGTAGGGGCCTTAACAACCAGAATAGTGTGCTTTTTTTGGTTGGAGGGGGTTCCTGATTATAGCTACAGTACAAATAGGGTTTTTTGGGGGGGTCCTGATTATAACTACAGTATAACATCCCCCCCAAAACCCTATTCTAACTACTAAGGCCTCTAGATTAAACCCTTAATCAATCGGAATCCTGAGTCCGTGTACCGTAAACCCTAAACCCTAAACCCTAAAGTTGTTTCGGACTTCGGGCCTCCGGTCTCGTGAGTCTAGCGTCTACCCCTGAATCCCTGCGTCCCAAAAAGGATTCCGAACATGTATTCATATTGTCATACGTACAGAATTCTACTGTAAACAAATATTTAAAGTATATATAAATGATTAAGTATAAACGTATATATATATATATATATATATATATATATATATATATATATATATATATATATATATATATATATATATATATATTTAAGTATAAACATATATATATATATATATATATATATATACAGATACAAGTAAATGTCCCCGCCCCTACTACAACCAATCAACGAACATTTGTGGCCATTCGATCTCTTCAGAGTTCTGGGTTTATAGGGTTTAGGGCAGGCTGCTGCAAGTGTATGAGCCAGAACCCTAAACCCTACTACAGTACACCTCCTACCCTAAACCCCTAACCCCCAATCCCTAAACCCTACTATACCTCCTAGAATTGCCCTAAACCTTACTACACCTCCGCAAATAAACCTAAACCCTAAACCCTACTGCACCTCCAAAACCTCAAAATCCCATTGCGAACTCCGAAGCGAAGCCTCTGAGCTGCCCAGAAAAGCGCCGTCACGGCAAGCAGACCTCCTCAGGGGATGGCTGAGGTGCGGTGCGCACTGTAATATGGGGGATTTTTTTGTATGATTATGCGAAAAAGATCCCCTTTTAAAAAAATAGTAAGTTTGTCATAAAAGTGGCCGGGGGCCTTAGTTAGAAAAAGGTTTTGGGGTATATGATACTACACTGGTACGAAGGAACCCACAAAAAAAAGTGCGGGTAATTACCATAGGGAGACACCCCGGTACCTACCTATAGGCTCCATTGTAGTTCCTCAGAAAGGAACTACATTGGAGCCTACAGGTAGTCCATGGGATAGTATTAAAACTATTCAAACGTCTGTTCCTTCTTGGGTTTAGGTACCGACAAATAGGTAGCAAATAAATAAGTGTGTACATATATATATATAATAATAATAATAGTGATGGTAATAGTAATAGTGATAATAATAATAATAATGTATGTAACAAGATCCTGGCTTTCGTCAAAGGAGCTCAGTAGGGCCCAACGGGCGGAGGGAGACGCCGCGGTAGCAGCCGCGACACCGCGAACCGTTTTCATGGCGGCAAGAGGCCGACAGGATTTTTTGCTTGGGGGCTGAATGCGCAACTTGGCTTCTTGAGATTTCTTGAATACCCTAGCCCAGAAAGCGTGAACTTTTTCAGTCGTGGTAGGCTTATACTGTAACTACTCAGCTAAAAGAGTTAGGGTTCCCAAGTACTTAAAGGATCATGGGACTTAGTAAGTGGGGATATAAATAAGGTAACTATACTTATAAGTACTTATAACCCCAATTAAGGCAGTTATAACCCTACTTACTAAGTCCCATGATCCTCCAAGTAGGGTTCCTCAGAACTGTTGCCGGGATCAGACGATGGT